CTTTGATATCTTGCTACCATGCCTACGGCATAACAAATATCAGGTCGCGTGCACAACATCGATACATGAGGCTTCCTACTGCCGATGCATAAGGAACTGCCTTCATGTCCCCTATCTCCTGAGGCATCTTCGGGGACATCCTCTTAGATAAAGGTATTCCGTGCCGAAAGGGCAAATCCCCTTTCTTGGAATCCTGCATGTTGAAACGCTTTAGGACAGTATCTATGTATGTGGATTGGGATAGGCACAACTTTCTCTTCTCTCGGTCGTGAATAACGTTGATTCCGAGAACATGTCCTACTTCACCCAAATCCTTCATATCAAACTGCTTGGATAACCATACCTTTACGTCTGACAACATCTTCACACTGTTTCCAATGAGAAGAATATCATCCACGTTCCAAGACCCATACGATTGGACAACATCTTCATCCACTGCTTGTACACACAGTGCTCATCCGGACATTGGGTAAACCCATACGATTGGACAACCTCGGCAAAACGGATGTTCCAAGACCTCGAAGCCTGCTTCAGCCCATAAATGGACCTCTTCAGCTTGCAGACCAGATGCTCTTGGCCCTTTGCAATGAATCCTTCTGGTTGCTGCATATAGATGTCCTCATCCAGATTCCCGTTAAAGAAAGCGGTCTTAACATCCATTTGCCAAATCTCATAATCCATATGAGCGGCCACAGCCAAGAGAATCCTAATGGATTTGAGCATGGCTACCGGCGAAAAGGTTTCCTCATAATTGATCCCTTCTTTCTAAATGTACCCTTTCGCAACAAGCCTAGCTTTGAAGGTCTCAACCTTCCCATCTGATCCTCTCTTTATCTTATAGACCCACTTGCATCCAATGGCGCGAACGCCACTGGGTGGCTCTACAAAATCCCAGACCTGATTAGTGTCCATTGACTCTAATTCAGATTTCATCACCTTTTGCCAAGACTCTGCGTCCCGATCTTGGAGTGCCTCATTGTATGTCCATGGGTCGGATTCAAGAACGTCCGGGACGGCCTCAGAAGACTCTCCCAGACCCATGAACCGTTCGGGTTGCCGGACAACCCTCCCACTACGACGAGGTACTACCTGCTCAGGTGCATCATCAGCGATACGTGTTGCAGTACTTTTTGGTGTAACATCTAGCGCACTCGGTATTGAAGTACTCACTCCCTTTATCTCCTCAAGAACATGTATACTACTGGGCTTATGATCTAAGACATAATCTTCTTCCAAGAACCTAGCATTCGTGCTAACGATTACTTTCTGGTCCTCGGGACTATAAAATAGACCACCTTTCGTTTCCTTAGGATATCCCACAAACAACCTTACTTCTGATCTCGGTTCCAACTTATCAGTACCGGTTCTTAGCACATGTGCTGGGCTACCCCAAATCCTGAGATGTCTTAGACTAGGCTTATGCCCAGACCACAACTCCAATGGTGTAGACGGTACTGATTTAGAAGGTACTTTATTCAGAATGTATACCGCTGTTTCTAGGGCATATCCCCAAAACGAATCTGGTAATGTACTATAACTCATCATTGCCCTAACCATTTCCATATGAGTCATGTTCCTCCGTTCTGCTACGCCATTCTGCTGAGGCGTGCCAGGCGCAGTCAGCTGGGACATAATCCCATTATCCGTCAAGTAGCTCCTAAATTCATTCGAGAGATATTCGCCACCACGATCCGATCGTAATGACTTGATACTTTTTCCTAACTGCTTCTCCACAACTCCCTTATACTCCAAGAATTTCTCAAAGCATTCAGACTTGCGGTGCAGAAGGAAAATGTATCCATATCTCGAGTAATCATCGATAAACGTAACTAAGTACTTGAAACCACCTCTCGCTTGAATACTCATAGGACCACATAGATCGGAAAGAACTAACCCCAACACATCTTCGGCTCTATGCCCCTTTGAACAAAAAGCCCTCTTAGTCATTTTACCTTCCAGGCAAGACTCACATGTTGGAAAAGCCT